TTTTTGAAACCAATTCAACCGGGCGCACTGTCTTCAACTTAGGCTGTCTAAAAATCCCAAACTTACGCAAGTGCGACCATACCCGAGGCCACAACATCTTGGTCTTCACATCTTCAATTTTCTTATTTTGTTTGCAATTGTACGTTTTCCTTCCAGAGCTTCATTTGACTTGTAAAATTGCTGTTAACACTTAAATTATCTACATGTTTTGACAACTCAAGATATACCATTACATTTCGGTCCCACTTGCACCATATACTATGTCCTGTCCGCATTTGAAACTGATGTTTGTAATTCTAAAACATTCTTGCTGACCTATTATCGCTTTATGTTCCATTATATCGAATGTAGCCAAAATCGTCACTAAGGTTGGGTGGTGAGCAATTCATTGTTTTACCTTATTTCATTTTATTTCGTGCCATATCCATGTGTATGGCCTCCAGTTAGATACGAAATCTAACCCATCTAATTCCCTTAACTTACAGTATGAAGACTAGCCAGTTACGTTGCTCTTAAACAATACGAAATTATAAGATAACGTATTTTCCATCAATAATCTCGATATAAACACTTGATACAAATCTTCGACTCTACGAAATCGCCTTCTCACTTTCGCTTTATATCCCCTTTGCCAGGTTTACTACCGGAGGAAGAGGAGAATGCGTGAGGTGCAGCAGAAGCAGCAGCGGCAAGTGCGTTCTTCACAGCCAGCTCAGGTCTCAGATCAAACTTGCTTAGATCCTTCTTCATCCATAAATGCAGCTAGTAGACCTACCATCATTAATGATTTGTCTTGTCAGTCTCGGTATGCTAGTTCTGCTGCAACTAAAACTGCGACAACTGCATCAATTACTTCAGCACCCGTAGATGATGCCCACTTTACTCGGAAGGATGAGACTCACTTTACGCTCGTTAGTGCCGGTATCGAGGCTGATTATGCTAACTCGATTCGCCCCAGTGCCGCCGATAGCACTAGTCCTGCCAAAACTTCCTTGGCAGATTACGCGACTTCGACGACTCATTTGAACCAAGGACATCCATTTCAACTTCCATCAAGCATTGGTTATCGTAATTCCGGTGCTGTGATTCACCTGCCAACACTGAATTGTAGTCTTGGTTCAGTCATCAGTCCTGTTGCTGTGTCAAGTAGTCCTACAAATCGGCTGCCAAATTGTAGTGTCGAGACTTGGCGCTACCACGCTGGAGCTCCACGAACCGCACGATCGCCGCCTGGGGTATTGACGGAAAAAATTACTGCTGGCTACAATTTTTCGGGATCTGGGCCTGCCGCTAAGGCTGCCTCATTTGGACCTGATCTTTTGGCTCCAGGTGACTTTAAATCTATCCTTGACGTATTATTTATTTATTTCCTTTAGTCTTGTCCTGATTTCGGTTAAAGCTGCTTGCCTTTGTCTCATTTGTAGTAGCTGGGGCAATTATATTGGTTGAAGAGAAGCGTCAAAATAAATGCAGCCATTTTGTTATTCCTCTCAAAATCTTATATCATGAACGTTCCTTCCATCTTTGCACCAACTACTTGGGAATTTTTTTTAGAGGGATAGGGAGACGCGAATGTGTAAATGAATTATTCAGGCCCGAATTATAAATTCTTTCCAAATCATGTTTGCATATATTTTGAGTGAACAGTACTTTCGTTTTAGAAATCAGAAGCTACATTTACCACCTCAGCTATAAGGTCTTTTTTCTTACATTTTCAAGTGCCGCCATGGCCTATGCACACATTTCGATCTACTCCATCTTTACAAGATTTCTTCATAAATCTTTCTCGGACTATACTGAAAGTCTACTGTAATTTTCGTTTACCGTTGCATTACTCCTCTTCTTCATAAAGACCTGTCACAATGCATGATCACGACTAGGATTAGTTAGACTCCCTTATTTATGAGTCCCTGCTAAAAGTTCTTTTTATATGGGCTCTTTCAACTTATTCAATATGGAATGCATCAATTTAGATCATTGCCTTCTGTTTTTTTCATATCATTTGACAATAAACCACTTTCTTTTATACAGTGTAAGACAGTCACGAACGCTTAGTCAGTATATTAATTTTGCCTTTTGTTCCTCTTCAAATCATGGGCCGCCGTCTCAATGACGGCTTACAATTAAAACATGTTGAGGATTAAAGTACCGATTAAACTACTTTTATCCCTCAGTCATTTCCCTTATTTTTAATTATGTATTGTTGTATCTTCGTGTAGATAACGAATTGGAGCAAGGATTTATCGTTTTTCGTTGAGACGATTTATATCAGCAAACAACTTCTCGTTTCGTTTATCCCAATAAAGATTAAGCTGATCGTCCGAGCAAGGTGTAACTTTCAAGTCCAAATATTCACTTTGGGTGGCATTTGGCTTCATGTCCACTCACTTTTCATATATCGGTAGAACTTCTCGTCCAACATAGTCGCAATTTATTCATATTTATATTCTATATACTAAGGCTAATTATATAGTTTCCCTGAATTTTTTAAAGAATTAGATCTTTATTTCATCCTAGTAGGTGTCTATGGATGCTCTTAACGTCCCCTTAGATCTTCTTACCATGATCATAGGCAGGTTAAAACAGTTTTTAATCATGAGAACCATGTCTTACTAATATTCGCCATCATTTGTTGGCGATGCATTTCAGAAAATCTTTCTTAGTTTGCTAATAAGATTCTCTTTCATATATTTTTTAGATAATAGTTTTAGCTGACGTATATTTAAATGTGTATTAAACACATAGGTAATAAGTCTATTAATCTGTTTCTTAATGTGCTTAATCTGATTTTGGTAAAAAATGCAATACAATATAGATTATGTTGTTATTTGCATTTAGGTGAATCTTCCTTTTAGTAAAGGCTATTCTGCAAAAATGGATTCTATGCAGCCTTACTATTTTATTTTAGCTGATGCTATTTTCTGCACTTAAGATAACGCCGTTTTTTATCTATTCTCATGCTGTTAGCTGAGCGGTCAGTTCTTTTATCTAAGACTTGCTGATCGTTCAAAAGTCGCTGTCGCATTTTCGTTCTTTTTATCTTCGTAGACCCATCTATGTATGAATTCTGCCTATCGCAGTCTCAATATCACTACGATTATGTAATACCAATTGTCTTGGTTTTGTTGAATAGCTTTTATTGTTAACTCATTTGTTTGAAAGTGTTTTGATGTCACCAGAATCGTAACTAGTTAGGTTATCTTATTTTTAAGTTGATCAGCATTCTTTATATTCTTAAGTCTATCAATCGGGCACAAGTATTTCTTACACAAATTTATGTTCTTTCTCTGGGTAATAAT